CTCTCTCTCTCTCTCTCTCTCTCTCTCTCTCTCTCTCTCTCCCCTCCTCCTCCTCTCTCTCTCTCCCTCCCTCTCTCACTCTCTCTTACTCACCCACTCTCTCTTCCTCCTCCTCACCTTTTTCCCTTTCCTCCTCCCCCCTCCTCTTTTTCTCTATTTCTCTCATCCATCGCTCCCCTTCTTCCTCCTCACCTAGAACCCAGCCTATCGCCTCTTGCCAACTCCCTCCTCCCTCCTTCCACTCTCTACATACCTCCCATACGTGTTCCCATGTTTCCCTTTCTCCTCCACATAGTCTGCACTTCCTTTTCTCCTCTTCTTCCCAATACCTTTCCTCTCTTATTTTATTTTCCAATCTAAATCTCGCTACCCTTTTCCATCTGCTTTCCCCCCATCCTTTTTTTAAGTATCCCGGTATTCCCTCCCCTTTTACTTCTCTATACCATCTGCTAAATCTAGATTCTTTTATCCTTTCCCATCTTTCCTTCCTCTGTTTCTCCCTGTCCTTCCTCTCTAACTCTCCATACCATTCCTTTCCTTCCTCTCTCTTCCTTTCCACCTCCTCGATTGTTATCTCCCTCTTTTCGAAGAATTTCTTTCTCCTCCTCCCAATCTGATCTTACTTTCCCTTCCTTAAATCTTTCCTTCATCTCCTCCCTACATTCCCTCGCTATTCCACTCCCTCCACCCTCTTCTAGCCTTTTCTCAAATCTCCATGCCCTCCTGCCCGCTTTTCCTCTCATCTTCTCCCTTTGCAACTCTTCTCTTATTAAATATCCTGGTGTCCTCGCTTCTACCCCCAATACCCATCTCAAATATCTCTTTTCTATCCTTTCCATTTCCTCCCTTTCCTTCCATCCCCATATCTCTACCCCATATTCCATTACCGTCCAAACTAATTTGTCAAACATCCATATTCTTCTCCCCCAGTCCCTCCCAAATCTTCTTTTCCCTATCCCCCATACCTGTTCCCATCACCGCTGTCGCTTTCTTCGCCCTCTCCCTAATCTGCGCCTCCTGTCCTCCGTTCCTTTGTATTTTGTACCCCAAGTAACTAAATTCTTATACTTCCTCAATTGCCTTCCCTTTCCATTTCCATATCTTTTTTTTCCATCTTCCTCCTCCCTTCCTAAATCTCATTATCTTCGTTTTTTTGGTGTTTAATTCTAATTTTTTCCTCTCTAGGTATCTCTCTAGTCTCTCCATCATGCCCCTCACCTCCTCCTCCTCCTCCGCCACCAACACCATGTCGTCTGCATACGCTAATGAGTATATCCTATTCCCTCTTAATTTAACTCCCCCCGTTTCACCTTTCCCATTTCCTCCTCTATATCCGCTAACATTATATTAAATAATAATGGGCTTAATGGGCATCCTTGTTTCACTCCTCTCGCCGTCCAAAAATTCTCCCCCACCTCCCCTCCTACTCTTACTTTGCTTTTCGTTTCCTTTAACACCTCCTCTACCCTCTCCACCAGTCCCTCCCTTACTCCTCTCTCTCTCATTGCCCCCACCAATACTCCCCTATCTACAGAATCAAACGCTGCCTTAAGGTCTATAAATAATGCCGTCATTTTCCCTTTCTTTTTCTCTAACTGCCTGTTTACCAAGTAATTCATTATATAAATATTATCCAATGTCCCCATCCCTTTCCTGAAACCTGTCTGATTCTCCGGCACTATCTCCTTTTTCTCCACTTCCCTCCTCAACCTTTCTGCTAACGTTATCGCGTATATTTTGTAACACGATGACATTAGTGTCACCCCTCTGTATTCTTCCACTCTCTCTCCATCCCCCTTCTTCACTATTGGCACCACTACTCCCTCCTTCCAGTTCTCCGGCCATCCTTCCCCTTTCTATACCCTGCTACACCATTTCCAAACCCACTCCTCCACTTCCTCCCCACCATATTTCCAAGCTTCTCCTGGTATCCCATCTGCCCCCATCGCCTTCCCATTCCTTAGCCTTTTTATCGTTTCCTTTATTTCCTCCCTGCTAATCTCTTCTTCCTCATCCCCCTCCTCTTTTTTCCTTCTTCCATTTCCTTTTACTACTTTCCTTTCTGCCCCCTTTAATAACCTCATAAAGTACTCCTTCCATTCCTCCATCTCTATCCCATCATTTATCCTTACCCTTCTTTTCCTCTCTCTATTTATTATTTCCCACACTTCACTTTCCCTTTTTACCTCCCTTGCTTTTTTTCCCCACTTTTCATTTTCTTCCTTCCTCTTCCTTTCACATAATTTCTTATATTCTTTTCTTTTTTCTTTGTACTTCTTTCCTTCTCTCCCTTTACTTTTCCATCCTCTTAATTCCCTTCTTACCTCCTTCTTCTTCTCTTCACAATCTCTGTCCCACCATCCTCCCTTCTTCCCCTCCTCTTTCCCCAAGTCCCTCTCTACTTCCCTTATCGCCTCTTTCATCTCCCTCTCCATCCCTTCCCATTCTTCTCCTATTTCTTTTTTCCCCAATTTTATCCTCTCCATCCTTTGTTTGAATTCTTTGCACCTCTCTTCATTCCACACTCCTCTCCATATTCTTCCTTCTCCCCTGCTCCCGCTCTTCCTCCCTTTTTTTCCTTGTCTCTCCCCCTTCACCCATACCTCCAATGGTTGATGGTCTGAGTCTATTCTGTCCCCTATTCTTAAACTTTTTATTTTTTCCCTCGTGTCCTCATCTGCTATTACGTAATCTATCACCGTGTTCCCTTTTCCCCCTGTAAACGTGAACTCCCCTTCCTCCTCTCCCTCTGTGCATCCATTCAGTATTCCCCACCCTCTTTCCTCCAGGAACTCCACCATTACTCTTCCTTCTCTATTAATTTTCCCATTCTTTGATTTCCTTTTCCTTCCTTCCCCCCTCCCTATTCCATTCTCTCCCTCTTCTCCTATTTCTATACCTCCTTCCTCTACCCCCGTTCTTGCATTAAAATCTCCCCCAATTATTGTGTTTACCTCCATCTCCTTCTCCCCCACCCATTGTTCCATGCTCTGTAGCATCTCCTCCATATTTTGATTAACGTATACCCCCACTACCCTCCATTTCTGTTTCCCCTTTCTTATTCTTCTTATTATCAGCCCTTCTCTTTCCGTTTCTATTTTTTTTCCTTTTTCCATTATCTCCTTTTTTATTCCCATTATCATTCCCTCCATCGCCCTTCCTTTTTTATTATTCTTTTCGGCTACTTGTATTCCCCATTCGTATCCTCTTGGTAACTTTTCTTTCACCATCCTCCACCCTTTCTTGTCCATCCATGTTTCTACTAGTATTGTTACATCCCAATTCTTTAATCCTTCCCAGAATTCTCTATCTTTATTCCTCACTCCTGCCACATTCCAGAACCCTATTCTCCACTCCTTCTCCTCCGCTTCCTCCCGCTTCCCCTTTTTACCCCTTTCCCTTCTTTCCTCTATCTTGTGTTCCCCTCTTCCTCCCTCCTCCCTTCCCCCTGTCCACCTACTTTTATGTTACCCTTTCCATCTCTTAACACCTCCTCCTCCTCATCCCACTTCCACCACTGTCCATCTATTCTTATTCTCCCATACTCTACCCATACATTTTTCCCCTTCCTTCCCTCCTCTCGGGCCCTCTCCTCTAATTTCCATCTCATTCTCCTTTCCTTCCATGTCCAGTCCTCTACTATCCTTTCTTTTCTACCCGTTAATGTCTTCTTCTTCTCCCATATCTCCCTTCTTTTCTCCTCATTCTCTATCCTTATCCCCACTATCTCTCTTCTTTTATCCCTGTCCTCTGCTATCCTCCATGTCTCCTCTATCTTTACCTCTGCTCCTATATCCTTTATTAACCCCTCTACCGCTTCCTTCCTTCTCCCTTCCTTCACCTCTATCCCTTTTATTACTAAATTCTTTCTCCTCTCCTCCCTCTCTTTCCTTTCCATTTTCTTTTCTATCTTTTTCAATCTTAATTTCATTTCTTCTTCTTCTCCCTTCCCTTTTTTTCTTTTTCCCCTCCTTCTTCTTTTCTCCCTCTCCCTCCATCTCCTCTATTCTCCTCTCCAATCCCTTTATCTGCTTTTTCATCTCTTCTCTCTCCTCCTTCCATCCCTCCTCTCTCTCTCTAAACTCCTTCATCTCCTTTCTTATATCTTTTATACCCTCCTTCATTTCCTCTTTCATCTGTCTCATTTCCTCCTTCTAATCCTCCAGCCCTATTCTCATCACCTCCTTCATCACCCCCTCCATTTCCCCTTTTCATTTCCTCATCTCCTCCTCTCCCTTCTCTATCTCTCTCTGTTCTCCTTCTTTCTTTTCCTCTTTTTTCCGGTGATCTAGTTGTTTTTTACTTTTAATAAAAATCTCTTTCTCCTCCCCTTCCCCCTTTTCCCATGCCTCCTCCCTCTTTCTCTTCCACATCTCCTCTATACATCCATGACTCCCACATCTCACTCTCCCCCTTCTTGCTTCTCTTATTCCTTCAGCCATTTCCCATTTCTTTTCCATCCCGCTGTGTCGCTACCAGTCCCCTACTCTTATTACTTTCTATTCTCTATATACTCTTTGCTCTCTTTTCCTATCCCGTTTGTGCCCGTCTCTATGTCCTATATTCTATGCCTGTCCTATGCCTGTCAACCCGTCGCCTTTTTCCTTGCCCTTTCCCTTTCTCCCTGCTCCGTTCCGTACTCCCCTCACTCACACACTCTCTCTCTCACCTCCACTCTCTCCTTCACTCACTCTCATCCCTCCTTCTGCTCTCCTCTCGCTTCTCACGTCACCCCAAAAACTTTGCTCTACTCCACGTGTCTCACTCTATCGCACCGGAAACGGAAGTTCCCCAGTGATATATATAGTATTATATGTATATTTTTAATTTATTATTGTGTCATATTTAATTCATATTTATTTGACACCTTGTATACGCCTATGTCTTCTCGGACATTATATTGCAGCCTTGCGATAAAATGTTAGTCGAGGAAACAAGCGCAAGCATCGTTTGTTTACAAACTATCCGATCACACGTACACAGACCACACGTCAGTGTAGTGTGTTACCACTACAAACAAATGCGTACACACGGACCTACGCGGCATAGGTCCGTAGACTACGCCGATAATGTCATTTCATTTTTAGTACCATCGAAATGATGGCGCTTTCGCGTCGGAGTTCGGCTTCCACTCCAGCATCCTCTTAATGTCTTAAGAATATCTCCAAGAAATTTCATGTCGAAATTCATAAAACTTCCGGAGTTATGAGCTTTTAACTGATCCGAGCGCAGGTATAAGATTTTGTTTATTATTCAGCAATGAAATTCACAGTGGTCGTTTAACCTCCAAGTGAAACAGACGCACATTCGAAAGTAAAGAGCAATGGATCGTAAACATTCACGAGACACGCATGAACATGCTAGTAGATCTAAAAAAAGAAAATTCACGGATAATATTCACACTTGGAAAGCGGATACTTCATTTGCAAGAACATCAGTAAAAAAATTATCCAGTGCTCAAGACGAGGAAATTATAGTGGACTCAGGTCACGGTTATCGCATCATTGCTTTCTTGTCGGTCAAAAAGCCAAAATATTTTGCAACGAGCAAGATGAACGCTGGCTTGAGAGATCAACGTGACGAAGCCTCTACAAAAGAAGCTGGAACAAAGCGTAGAAGCGAGCAGATAGCTCAAAACAAGTTCTACGAAGAAGAGAAAGGATTATTATATAGCCCTGGGATAGCTGAGTAACAGAAAAGTGATGTAAGTATTTGATATACTTATATAAACTAAACTTAAAACTTTAAATGTTGTTTTCTCAAAACAGCATTTTTGCGGATGGTGTGCATGATATTTTTGTAACCACTGAACCGATTACCTTCAAATTTGGCCTGCATGTTCAGCAAACATTACTTTATCGTTTGATGAACCAGAATACTGATAAGTTACATAGTTTTTTTTACATAAAAAAAATGGGCGAATTTTGATAGTAAAAATTATACTTTTGATTTGAAAACTCACCACTTCCGCAATAAATTTTTTTAATTTAATACTTATCAATTAATTAAATAAAAAAAATATCTATAAAATTTTAATTTTTTGTTAGGGTGTATTTGAATTAAATCATCGATATACTGGGTATATATTGAGAATATTCAGAATATATACTGAGAATGTACCAAAAATATGTTGAGAATATTGAAAAGATATACTAAGAATGTATAGAAAATATACTTAGAATATTCAGAAGATATACTGAGGATGTACAGAGAATATACTGAAAATTATAAAAAGCGGACATTTGGATATACTGAGAATATACTCAGAATACCTTAGATATCCTACGAATGTTCTCAGTATATCTGAAAAACATGGTTTGATATTCTGAGAACATCCTCAGAATATCATTGTGCTATCTGGGCAAATATACTTGTACATGAATACTCTAATTCAGCGCTCGGAATTAGTTGCACATTTCGGACCGATTCTGGAGACGACGCCTCCTGTCCCCCCCACTACCGCCCGGCCGCTGGCGGCCGAGCCGCCGATAGCTCTGGTTCAGGAGCGTTTTATATTAGAAATAGGCTGGATTGTTTAGGCATCTCTCAGGAAATCGTAACTATTTTCTTTATTACATAAATAATGTTTATTTTCATTAATATATAATATATATATATATTTAATTATTAATGAAAATAAACATTATTTATGTAGCAAAGAAAATATTACTATTTTTTGTAGAGGTGCCTCAACAACCGAGCCTATTTCTTATATAAAACGCTCCTGCGCCAGAGCTATCGGCGGCTCGACCGCCAGCGGCCGGGCGGTAGTGGGGGAACAGGAGGCGTCGTCCCTTGCATCGGCCCGAAATGTGCAACTAATTCCGAGCGCTGCTCTAATTGGTATAAATATTTGTGATATATAGACATGTAAATAGTACGCCATTCGTTTCTAATACGTTCTTTTCTTTTTAGAAAATACTCTTGTAATGAGTAAATGTCATTTATGTAACTTTGATGGTAACAAATTGTCTTTGCATTAAAATCTATGATGTGATAATTTTCCTATTTTAAATAGTAAATCAACTTACACTTTTTGTAAGTTTTATAAGCTCACATTCATTAAGAGAATTGATAAAACAGTCCATTTTTTTATGATACGCCAAAATAATGTACATACTACCTGCATATATCTGCATGTTAACTATCTTACTTAGCTATTTAATTAATTATATTTTCATAAAGTTAAATGTATATTATAATCTCTCGTGTACATCAGGAGTGTTCGCTTCTCGTGAGACACTTTCAGTTGTGTGTTGTTAACAAATACATTGTTTTGTTTGAAGCGTGATTGGACGTAAACTTGCAAGCTGTAACAAAATGCAAAGTATTCTCAAATTGACAAGAAATTGATAAATTTTTGCTTTTATACATTTAATTATAAAAGTCATATAACAAAAATGGTAAAAAAATTTTTGATTAATGTAATATAATGTAATATAAATATGCACATTGTCAACAAATTCGGTAAATTTACAAATAAAGATGTAAAAATTACATGACAAATAATATATTAAGTAAATAGTATAAAATTTATGAAATTATGTAAATTTGCAATATATATTTACTAAATTTATTCATTATGTAATTTTTACATTCAGTTTTGTAAATTTATCGATTTTTTTACAGTATAGAACGCCGTTATTAATTATGGTATTACCTTATTATGACTGCATAATTGGGCATCAATCATACTGTTACTTCTAATTGTACATCCCCATGATATTTTTGTTTTTTTTTTATTTGTACGTTTCGTAAACATGCGGATTAGTTCTCTGCGAAAAGTTTTTCCAGTTGTGCAGTACAGAACAAAATTTGTACTGTAATATGCTGTGTCTAATAAGTCGAATATTGTTTTCACAAATGATGCCTTGACATATTTAGATAACTGGAAAAATTATTATTATTTTTATTATATATAACTATTGATAATAACGTGTCGTATTTTACGGTATTCATTTTCTTATGTAGATACCTAATATAATAAATTATTATACAGTTTTATTCATAATGTAAAAATTAAACAGTATAAATTAGTTTAAAAAATTTAAATTTTAAGAGAAAAATTAATTAATATTTTTTCTCATATTCATTACATGCATTACATACAATACAAATGCAGAATGCATTTATGGAGTAATTAAACTATATATTATGTTCGGTATTATTTTAATATGAATTAATGATACGTACGTAACTAGAAATGTAAAGAATATAATACGCAGAAAATTTTATAACTAGAAATATGCTCGAAACAAGAATAAGCATTTTTGTGATTCTATGGAGAAGCATTTTATCATTAGAAATCTGAATTCTCTCATTAGAAGAATCGGACGCTGTAATCAAGGTTTTGCGAACACGATTTTGCTGGTAAATGTGGTATCCTATCAGAGTATTGCAGATTACTATCACGACAGCAGGTAAGATAAATATTATAATAGAATCTATAATGCGCGTTGTCAATATAGATCCATACTGTCTGTTAAATGTTTCATATTTGTACACATCATAGATATTGCCGTTTCTTTTAAACATTTTATAGTGCATGGTCCTATACAGATAAAAAATATATAAAATGCTGCGTAAAATCGCTAGTCCCATCAGCGTGATTACCACAATTTTTGCGCGTTTGACAGTGCACCAGAATCGACGTAGAAGCGGATACTTTGTCACTATGAATCTCTCGATGGTAAAGGCTACTATAAGCCACACACTCAAAAACTCGGAAAAGTAGAGCAGAAAGTGCAAGAAAAAAATTAGGCAATACATATAATTTTTTATTGGTTTTATATCCATTATTTGGAGCCAATTAATGAGTGATAGCATCGAATAGATGATGTCGCTCATTGCTAACACGCTCAAGTAGATGTTGAACGAGAAAGAACGCATTTTTTTACGAAAGAGCACAATAGCGGACAAACTGTTTCCTAAAAGACCGAGAATAATAAAAATCGGCAGACAGTACTTTCTGATATTTGTAATGTCCAAATTATCTACAATTACATGGTACAGCTCAAAAACAAAATAAAATTTATTTATGACGTGAGTGATGGGAAAATGTCTGCCTACAATATCTTTGTTACATAAATCTTGGAATTTCTTAATTCTGCTTATATTTACAAGTGAATGATTCATTATGATCTCTCGTTGCCTTCTGACGATAAAAACGTGAATAAAATATTCGGCCATTCTACGTAAACTTTCGTCAAGATCTCTTTCGTTGTTACAAACACGCAATCGTAGTTCGTGTTTAGATATGTTAAAATAATCTTTGCCGTAATTATTTTGATAAAGCATCCTTGCATATGATTATGGATTGTTCGCAACAGTTGCTTATGAGATAAAGAGCAAAAAGCGATAATCAAATTGCGTCACGCGTCTGAAAAGCGTTATAACCCCTAGTGAAAAAACATCTCATAATTTCCTAGAAAATTTTAAGAATTTTTTATAATTTTATTTTGTAAAAATTCTGAAAAAATTTCTTATTTATTCATATTTTTGAAACATTTTTTAGAAAATTAATTTAAAAAAAAAATTTAAAATTATTAGCCGGGATTTTTAAGATTACGGAATCTGATGTAATAATGTTCGATAGCTGTATAGCTGCAAGCGTTATAATAATAATTGTTATGAAAATTATTTTTGCCAATAATATGTTATAATTACAATTTATATTTCATAAGCGGTTTTTATATTTATTATGTACGAAATGTAATAAATTCAATATTTGTAATTATTATATATTTTTTATAGAATTTTTAAATGTATATGTATGCGAGTATGTGTTGTAATGAGGTACATTTTTCTGTATTCTATTTAACGGAATATTTCTAAAAAAAATTTACGATTTATCAGCTTCCATATTTTGCCCTGCCTTTGAGTATATTTCATTTAACGGTACAAATTAACGCAAATATATATTTCTATTCTATCTTTTTCATTGGATGTCAAACACAGAATAAAACATGTATTAACATGTATGTTAACGTGACATTCTATGTTCGATATCTACTAGAAAATAAATATAGAATGACACGTTTTTACATTGCTAAATGAAATGCATTCAAAGATAAGGTAGAAAAATAAAAGCTGATAAATTGTATATTTTTCAACTTGTAAAAATATTTGATATTTCTAAAGGCCTGTGTCCACGATGCAAGAAATTGGTCCAAGTTCTTGGTCCGAGAAATATATAGCCAATTAAATTGAAGTTCTTATGGAAAAACAGTAAGTTGATTGGTTACACATTTCTTGAAGCAATCCAACCATTTTGGGCCAAGAACTCGAACCAATTTCTTGCAACGTGGACACGGGCTTTAATATATACAGATTTGGAAAATATGAGAAATAATGAATTTATTTATATATTTTCATATATTTTCATTTCTTTTCTGAACTTTTCTGAAAAGTGTGTCAATTCATATAAAAAATCTTAAAATTTTTTGACAAAGTTATAAAATTTTTGTAAAAAATCTGAAAATTTTTTAGAAAAATTTTGAGAATATTTTTCACTAGGGACGTTATTATATACATATATTATTCATTGATATCTTGCATATAAATTTTATTTATCGGTATATTTATTAAAATAATTTTTTTTAAATATAAAAACAATAAAATATATAAAATATACAGCAATTTAAACATTTAAAATAAAATGTCTTACGCACTATCTCACTTACCTGAGAGTCGTTAATATTTTGAAGTCAACGAATACGAAGATTATAAACTTTCAACAATTCCCCAATTTTAATCGTTCAACTGCTGAACACTAACGATTGCAAAAGACTGAATGTCGAGACTACTGACTTGGATGACGATAATATATCTTCCTGAAAGTTTGTGGTTTTCCAAAACGATTAATATTTTGATTGTAAGGTTGCTCATATCCGTTAACATGTGAATTTCTGCTGGAGCCTGTTGTTCTTCTGTAGTATTTATAATAACATGACTGACCTAGAGGACATTTATTTTTTTCTGATAATTTGTGCCGTACCAAATTATTAACATTTTGACTTTAATGTTGTCCATATCCGTAGACAAATGAATTTCCGCAGAAACCTGTTGCTCTACAAAAATATTAATAATATCATTAAAAGAAGCAGTAAATATTACTAAAATAATACATGAAATTTATTAAAAACATTATTTTTTATTATTTTTATGTAAGATATTATATTGAATATAGTTTTTTATTAGCATAATAATTATGATTATGGTAATTCTAGTTATTGTATTAGATCCTTGAATAAGTTCTCGCTGTTTCTTAAAAGATGGCGTAGCGGCACTCTGTGCATGGAATTTCGTACGGAAACGCATCAGCTAAGTAGTACTATATGTAACCTCAAATTCTAGTAGATACAGTTTACCACAGTGTCAACCACGTGTTTAATTACCTATTGCGAAAATGTCTACTTTTGTGCCAAATAAAGTGTTTTTGCGGGGAATGTTATTGCACTGCTTTATTCAAAAGAAATCTGCAGCTGAAGCACACAGAATTCTTGTTGAAACATATGGTGACAATGCTCTGTCGAATACGACATGCAGAGACTGGTTTAGGCGCTTTAAAAATAATGACTTTGACCTTGAAGATAAAGAACGTTCTGGAGCACCGACAAAGTTTGAAGACGAAGAATTGGAGGCATTGCTTGATCTAGATCCATGTCAGACGCTAGTAGAGCTCGGGAAACAGTTGCAAGTAG